TTAAACTCTCGTGGGCCAAGAGTATCTATGATTATGCTCACCCATAGACAAGGTGAGATGTTTTAGCAGTTTAGCCACTTACAACATCATTGGTGGTTTAAGCCATTCAACATTTCTTATGGCCATATCTATACCCCAAATATCAAGGGTAGTAGAGCTTTAAAAATCTTCCATTGATCGGGCCAATCTTTGAGCCATCTCCATCGACCAACTTGTAGGCACCGCCTGAATGTACTTCTTGAATAACATAAGGACCATCCCATTTATGTGAGAATTTGTGCCCCGTTTTTCGTGTGATAATGATATGTCTTCTCACAGCTAGAACTTTATCGCCAACTTGGAATGAGCGAATTCTAACCCTTTTGTTGAATGATTTCGATAGACGAGCCTGATAGCATTCTAGGTTCTGCTGAGCTTCTAACCTCTTTTCATCAAGTGCCTCGAGTTCTGGCAACCGCAACTTGACGTTTTCTTCATCAGTGAGTCCTTCTTGAATAGCCAATCTCAGAGATGGTATTTGGCGCTCAAAGGGAAGGAGTGCTTCGGTACCATACACCAAAGAATATGGAGTGTTTTGGGTAGGTGTTCGATAAGTCGTTCTATATGCCCATAATGCTTCTTCCATTCTTTCATGCCAATCCCTCTTTGATTTTGACACTACTTTCTTCAAGAGGTTGCATAGAGTTTTGTTAAAAGTTTCAGCGAGGCCATTGGCGGCAGCATAGTACATAGAGGACTTCCGTTGCTTGAAATCAAATAACTTGCATATCTTGTCCATCAACTTGTTGTCAAAAGGTTTCCCATTGTCCGTCAAGATATATCGGGGAATGCCAAAGCGGTAGATGATATGAACTCGGATGAAATCAGCAACATTTTCCTTCTTCACCTCTTTCAATGCAACTGCTTCGGCCCATTTTGAGAAGTAATCAGTAGCGGCTAGTATGTATGAATATCCTCGTGATGAGCTAGGCGTGATTGGTCCAACCACGTCAAGTCCCCAAGCGTCAAATGGCCATGATGCTACTGTTGGATGCAAAGGCTCCAGTGCTTGATGGATGAAATTTGCGTGATATTGGCATGCTTGACATCTTCTAGCATAGTCCATGCAAACCTTTACCATGGTCGTCCAATAATATCCCATCCTCTTGATATGAAAATGTAGCTTAGGACCAGACTGATGAGCTCCACATACTCCTGAGTGTGCTTCTTCCATTGCTTGTAAGACTTCATCTCCACCCAAACACCTAAGGAATACACCATCGAATGATCTTCGATAAAGTGTATTTTTATAGTAAATGAAACGCGGTGAACGCCTCTTCAAGTCTACTTTCTTGCGGGTATTTTCAGGTAATTTCCCCTCAGTGAGATAATCGATGGAGTGGCTGCCTCCAATCTTCATTTTCAATATCATAAACTGAGGTAGTTGGCATCTCGACTATCTCTTCGGTTGCACCATCGTCTCCGATGAATGGAGGGATTACCCATTTTTGACATACCCGTACTTGAGTTCCATCGTCAAGGTGTGCCGTGTTCGATGCTAACCCTGCCAGTGCATCAGCTTGCTTGTTTTCCTTTCTTGGTACATGTTCAATTGTAACTTCACCAATCCATCCTATGAGTGCCCTTGCATATTTTTTGTAAGGATGTAGTTCAGATTTCCTTACTTCATAAACTCCAAGCACTTGATTGATGATTAGTTTTGAATCGCCATAGATATTAACTCATGTTTGCTTCATGTCTACATCTATTTCAAGTCCGAGAATGAGTGCTTGGTATTCAGCGACGTTATTGGAGCATTGTTCCGTAAGCGTGAAAGCATATGACAGAACTTGACCTTCGGGTGTAACAAAGACCACATCAGCTCCAACACCTTCTCTATGTGCAGCTCCATCAAAATACATCTTCCATGGAGGCAAAACTTCAATTATGAGCACATCTTCATCAGGTAGATCATCAGAAAGTTCCCACTCAGCAGGGATAGGGTGATCGGCTAGGAAATCTGCCAAAGCTTGTCCTTTTACAGATTTTTGTGTAACATAAACAATCTCAAACTGTTGAAATATCAAGTACCACCTAGCAAGACGATCAGATAGAACCACTTTGGACATCACATACCTCAGCGGATTTGCTCTGGAGACAAGATTTATCGTGTGAGCTTCAGATAGAACCACAATTTCTCAATGGGCAAGTACTTCAAGTCGTGTGGGGTCATCATTCTACTTAAATAATAAAGGGCATTCTCCTTCTCTCTATCATTTTCTTGAGCTAATAGAGCTCCCACAGACCTTTCTTGAGCAGCAATGTAAAGTATCAAAGGGCGGCCAGAGACAGGTGCATTTAGGACCGGTGGTTTCATCAAATAAGCCTTGATATTTTCAAACCTATTCTTACACGTTTGGTCCCATATGAAAGGCACACCCTTCTTCATAATTTGACTAAATGGTTGACATCTTCCAGATAAGTTCGAGATGAACCTCCGTATGTAAGCCAATTTTCCTTGCAAACTCTTCAACTCATGAATATTTCGAGGCTCCGGCATATTCACAATAGCGTCGATCTTGGCTTGTTCTATCTCAATGCCTTTGTGAAGGACAATAAACCCCAGGAATTTCCCAGCCGAAACTCCGAAAGCACGCTTCAGAGGGTTCATTTTGAGACCAAACTTCCTCAAGCGATCAAATACTACTCTTAAGTGTGATAGATGTTAGCCTTGGGCTTTTGACTTCACCACGAGGCCGTCAACATAGCACTCCACGATTCTGTAAAGGATATCATCAAATATTGCCTGCATGGCTTGTTGATAAGTAGCTCCTGCTTTCCTAAGTCCAAATGGCATGACCGTGTAGCAATAGATCCCCTTAGGAGTTCGAAAGGTAGACAATTCTTCATCTGCGGGGGTCATCCGAATCTGATTATAACCAGAGAAACCATCGATAAATGACATAATTTCATGCCCAGTCACAGCATCTATCATCAATTCAATGATGGGAAGTGGAAAGTCATCTTTTGAACATGCAAGGTTAAAATCCCGAAAATCAACACATATTCGAATTTGTCCATTCTTCTTTCTTACCGGGACAATGTTGGATATCCAAGTAGGATATTTTACTTCTCGAATGAATCTGGCCTCAATAAGTTTATCAACCTCGGCCTCGATTAATGGAATTAAATCTGGGCGGAAGCGCCTTTGAGCCTGCTTTACTGGTCGACACCCTTTCTTTATCGCTAAGTGATGAACAACGAATTTTGGATCCAACCCCGGAATTTCTTTGTATGTCCATGCAAAGACATCCTTGTATTCTTGGAGTAAGGCCACATATTCTCCTTCTTCTTCGCTCGATAGAAGAGCACTGATATAAATGGGGCGAGGGTCCTCTTCGGTGCCGAGATTTACCTCTTTTAGTTCATCCAAGGCTGTTCGCACTCCCTCTTCAAATTTCGGAGGAGCTTCATCAGCATCTTCACATTCGGCCTGGATTTCATCACCAAAAGTAATATGGTAAGATGAAGCAATGTATTCCTCATCATCAATCAGCTCATCATATATGAACTTATTATCTTCTGTCATTCGAGTATGAATAATTGTTTTCAGCTGTACTTTGAGAGTTTCTCCACATGAGACTTCCACATCAGTTTCTCGCCTCATTCGGGATGGAATCAAGCTTCTATATTCATTCAAAACTTGTGTTTTTGTATATTTGTTGAGAGACTTCTTGCATGAGCGAACTTTCCCCAGCCTTTCATGTATTGGTTTTCTCTCAAAGTTTTGCCCACTACATGGGTGTTCCATGTGCTTTACCATGAAGGGGATCACTCCAAGCCTTTCTTGTAAAGTTTTCATCATGATCTTCTTTGGCTTTGGCCCCATCCTATCAAAGATGGCAGGTCTTGGTTTTGCCCCCCAATCCGATCAAAGACGGAATACTTCGGTTTAGAAGTCACCTCATCTTCTTCATCTGCACTGATATGATGCGTTGCGGCTCTATTTATAAGGATTCTTATGGGCTTCGGCTAAACGTAACCCAAACCTGTGTGTCCTCGAAGATTGTTTTGCTTCGATGGTCCTTCTCCACCAGCTTCTGGAATGAGTTTTCCTAACTTCTGTTCATTAGGATTATACCAAGCCTTGGCCAGAAGTTTGTATGCATTTGGGTCAAATCCTTCATTAGTGCGTGTCTTGGGGATTTGAAACTCCTTTACATCATCCTTGTACTTTATTTCTTCCTGAGACGTGTCTTGAGGAGGCCTTGATATCTCGATCTTTGCAAGAGGGAATGTAAGCCCTTCTACGCCTTCAACAAATTTTCCTTTCAGCTTTGGTTGAGTCAAGGGGCGATATACTTCTTCTTGTCTAATATCGTCTTCTTTAGAAATTTTGGCCTTCTGGTAAAACTTTGCATCTGCAAAGTATGTCTCGGCTTCTGTGAATGGAGTTTCATCAGCCACTACCTTCTTTACAACACCGTTCTCCTCATACATGAAGCATTGGTGCCACGTTGAAGGAATGAGACCGTTCTCGTGGATCCATGGACGACCTGGAAGGAGATTATATGAAGCCTTTGCATCAATGACGTGACATAAAGTACTTTCTTTCAACCCACCAATGACCAAATCAAGACGGATCATTCCAATCGCTCTTTGCCCCCTTGATTAAAGCCTTGAATCATTAAGCGACTTTGGGAGAGTTCATCCATTGATATATCAAAATCTTTCATAGCTCGAACCGTTAAGATGTTAACGGCAGCCCCTTGATCTATTATAATTCTTCTGAATCTTCGTCCACGAGTGTATCCTTCAACAAAAAGCGGACGGTTATGGGGAGTAGCACCCAACATAAGATCTTCATCTTTAAAGATAATGTCAGTGGCGTATGAAGTAGATCTTTGTGCTCCAGCCACCTCCTCTTTATTCGAAACTGGAGATAAACCCCTATTTGAACTCTCAACGTCTTTTTCATGGGTGCTAAGGCAAGAACTCAATGTTTGAGTTTTCTTGCTCTTGAAATCCTTTGGCATATAATCGTTGAGAGTAATTACTCTTCGTGCAACCTTGGGACGAACATGATCCTTCCTTTGCTTCCTTTTCTTCAATTCATTTATCGGTTGTCGCCTAACCCATTTCTTTATCACCTTCTTCGTTTGTGGCTTAGGTTCATGATTCTTCCTTTGTTTCTTTCGAGTTATCAAGATCCATGGTCTCCCTTTGTCATCGACATCCTCAAGTGCCATTCTTTTGGTGAGAGGCGGACATCCTTTCATTTCCTTGACAGTAAAAGGGAGCTTATGCTTGTGAGAATTTAGGTCATCGTCGACCATGAGCGGATCAAACCTACCAAATGTAATGGTAATTTGATTTGTGCTTGCTGCAGAATCAGCAAGTTCAATCTTTCCTTCACGGGCCAAAGCCATAATCTTGTCTTTTAACACCCAACACTTCTCTATCGGGTGACTCAACACTCTATGATATTTGCAGTAATTAGGATGATTGACTTTTGTGGCTTCCTCGGGTCGTTTCGACTGAGGTAAATCAACAAGTTTCAATCTCGTCAGTTCATCGAACATTGGAGAAACATCAGATTCCATGAAAGGATATTACTTCTCCATCATCTCTTGCAAAGTCGGCTTGACACGACCAGAGGTTTCAGGTTCAACTCTAGCAACCTGCTTTGCCTTCTCGGTAGTTTGAGTGAAGACTTTGACTGGTGAAGCTTTCACAACCATCGCTTCTTTCTTTTCAAATTTAGAGAAGGGCTTGCCCCCTTTCTTGGTATCTTGCTTTTCAGCGGCATTGTTCATGGGATATATGCCCATGGCTTGTCTTCCACTGCTTGCAATGCTCAACTCCATGTTACGAGCTTTGCTTGCTAATTCATCGAAAGTAGTTGGATTCACTCCTTTCAGAATATAACATAACTCCCAATGCATGGCTTCAATGCACATATCAATTGCAGAGTTTGTAGAGATCCGATCTTTGCAGTTGAGGGCAAGTTCCCTCCAACGTTCAATGTAGGTTATCACGGGCTCATCTTTCCAGTGGCGAGTAGTTGTCAACTCAAGCAAACTCACCACCCTCCTTGTGCTATAGAAACGCTTTAGGAACTCACGTTCCATATCTTGCCAGTTGTCAATGGAACCGGGCTCCAAGTAAGTATACCAATCAAATGCATTTGCTTTCAAAGAGCGCACAAATTGTTTGACCAGATGATCCCCACCCGTTCCCGCATTATTGCAAGTTTCTACGAATTGGGCAACATGTTGTCTCGGATTTCCCTTTCCATCAAACTGTATGAACTTTGGCGGCTGGTAACCGATGGGCATCTTCAAATCCTCGATCCTTTGAGTGTATGGCTTAACATAGGAGTAAGTAGACTGCTTTCCTTCTATCTTCCCCTTTATGATTCCCATGATGAAGTCTTTGAGTTGATCAATCGTGATCATGCCCCCAGAGGTTGAGATGTTCTTTCCCGAATCCTCTTGGTGAGAATCATTATCTTCATGCACATCGGGATCCTTCTCATGGGCATGACTTGACTCGCCTTTAAAGCTTTCCACTTTGCTGTTAAGATCATTCAACTTCTGATCTTGAGCTTGCATGAACATGCTCATCCCTTCGATGACCTTAGTTAGATGGGCAATTTGTTCTTCCATAGATGTGGTGCTCGTCGTCATAGTGGGCATCACAGTGTAAACATTTGACCACTGTAGAGTAGTTCTTCATGGAGAAGTCGACGGAGAAGTAGAGTCTGAACCAGATGATGAGCTTTCACCACCGTTTGTCCACTTAGGGGAAGTAACTTCATGTATGGATGAAGAAAGCTTCCGGGCCATCTCTTGCGCAGTTTGAAATTCCTCCATCGCACCGAGAGTAGTTTTCGAAAATGACTGTGCAGCTAGGATTCTTGACCGGCTCCTAGTGATGGGGCCTTGCATGTTTTGATTCGAGCCTGATGATGCTCGAGAATTCAAAGTGAACACGGGCTTGCTTGATGTCATTGGTTCGCTTTCCTTGATCAAAAGTGAAGAGATGAGAGGTAGAGATGTCCCACCGGGCGTGCCAAAATTTTGTGAAACAAATTTTAAGTATTTACTTAAAATTTATCGCAAATACTAATATGTGAGAATATTGGGTACAATCTCTAAACATGGATCCTCTGATTCTTCACTTGCAATTTGACATGAATATAAATAAAGAATTTAATTTAAAATTAAATCTCTAATTCTTCAAATACTCGAATGTTCGTCAGATCTTCAAATCTTCGAATCTTCGTTCTTGAGATCTTTAAATCTTCGAATCTTCGTTCGTCGGATCTTCAAATCTTCTTGAATTAAGAAATCAACTTGAAGGGCCTCCGGGTTTCAAGTGGCTTGATCTTCAACAAAAGGGCCTTTTTATGGCTTGATCTTTTGTTTAAGGGCCTCTCGGGATATATGGCTTGATCTTCAATTGAATTTCAATTCAATCTTCATATGAGTATCTTCAAATCTTCAAAGATTCATTCTTCATATCTTTGAATCTTCAAAGTCTTTTTCTTCAGATCTTCGAATCTTCAAGCTTCGTTCTTCAGATCTTCGAACGTTCTTCAACTTTTGGATTTATTTTATTAAGAATCGACGAAATCACGAAAGATTATTCGTATATTCTTAATAAAATTCGTGGCTTGATCTATTCCTCTTCTTCGGAATCGTTCAGAACCTTTCGGGAGTTCTTGAGAGCTTTTCTGCAGCGTTTCTTCGTCTAAAAATTCTCTTCTTTCTCTCAACTGAGACCCCTATTTATAGGTGTGGAGGGGGTGAAAATATGCTTTTAGTGTTGTGAAATTCGTTCATATGCTTAGGGTCTCAAAGAAAATGGGCTTTGGGCTCTATTTGCTTGCATTTGATAGCTAGAAAAATCAGCACTTTTTTGATGTATCTGGACAGCCCTTTTTAACAAGGTTTGATGCCATTTCCCAAGCATATAGATGGATTTCTTAACCATATTCATTGCTCTCTTTATCAATTGGATCATGACTCTTATTCATTGGGCTACTATTTAATAATGGGCTCAAAATAAAGAAATTAATAGGACCGGTCCATTCTTATAAAGATTTAATTTATAATTAAATTAATTGGATATTTAAATGACCCAAATTAATAATTAAATCATTGCATTTTATCCGAATGGGTCCATATTAATATTTTATAAGGCCCAACAACCACCAGAAGCCACCCAGTAGAGTCGACGTTGGCTCAATACAATTCAAAAGAAGCCTACAATGTTTGAGAATAATCTGGTAGATCTTAAAGAAGTCCAATAATCATCACAACTGGCCCAATAAATTTTATATGTCCACGACAGTTTACTCTCGTGATATATGTTCAAGCTGATTTTAACCAGCTGTTTGTTTAAAAATTTAAAATGTTAGCAGATCAGTTCGGCACCAGTCAATTAAAAGCTTACCAAATTACATCTTTCAGCAATTTTCCACATCTCTGTGAACTTGATGGTTGTGACTAAGGCTTCTGATATAAAGTTATTTCGTAATTTGCAAGTTATAAAAATTCTAGAAAATGGCACTGATCTCAGTAGTGTTGATGACAGACGCATGCACTTGGGGTTGGGGATTCAACCTTTTGGACGTTGATGACAGACGTATGCACTCTCTAGATTAAAATTAAAATGACTCCAAAATGATGAAAATAGGGTACAATAAGGGTGATTTTTTGTTCACTTTAGGGAGGCTACGCAATTAATAATTCTTGGCAGCCTTTATATCAACCAAAAATATATATTTGCCTTAAAAAATTAATGAGTAGGCTGAAACACAATGCAAAATGTTGCAGTTTTTATGAAAATTATTAAGTTTAGTGTACTTAATTGAAACAATGGCTAGTTAATTGAGAAGTTAAACATTGGTAGCTAACTAGCTTCTTTGGTTAGTGCATCTTACATTCTGTTTGATTGCAATCTATATATTCTTTGATTGATATATCTCAAATTATTTAATATTACCTTCTCACTTTATACTGTATTTTGAGTTGGTAAAAGGAGAGAACTAATGGCTGGATCTCAATTATGAAAAGTTAACAAATCTTACTTTTTGGATGGTGGTTGGTCTCTTTTGGTTGGTGATCATATTTTGTATTTGAATATAGTTGTCACTTAATTTCTTTTAATTTGTTGGTGCCCTTTTAATTTGTTGGTGCCCTTCTTGGTAAAGATATAGTGGTAACTTATATGAAACAATATAAAGCGTGAGTGCTAATTATCTGTATTGTTTGTTTTGGAGGGGATGGATTTGCTTGAAGACGACGATTTAATAGAACCAAAAATGATGCACACATGTTTTCTTGGCAGCTTGATTATATTATTTGAATGTTATATCTAGACATCTGCTTTGTATTTTTCTCGCTACAGTTTTTGCGTGTTAAGCTCATGTCTTTAGATTTGATAGATTGTTATATATGTACAATGTATTTTACATGTGATGAATGAAATATTTGTTGAGTTTTTATACATTTTCTAATGCGTGTGCAAATCAATAAGGTTGTACACATATGTATATGTGTGTAGTAAGTGTTACATTTGACAATTTATCAGGACATGCATATTTTCAAAAACCGTTACATTTGTGTAAGCTTAAAATTGTTACATTTGTGCTCAATCAATTGTAACATTTGTGGCATGTTGAAAAGATTGTTACAGTTCGTCGTAAATATCGTTACAATGCGTTACATTAGAGAAAATGCAACGTGAGCGGATGTAATGACGAGAAACGGTTACATTACGTCAAATGTAACTAATTTTTGGACCAAAGGTCACGAATTCTGCTGCTACAAAAGACTAAAAAATGCCGTAGTTCCTAAATGCAAAAAAAACTCCACTTATTAAAGTTCAAAACAATGGCGGGTTGTAAGTGGTTACTTATTGCAATAAAATAAAAAAAAAATGAAAGAGCTGAGAGCATGCGCGCTGCCCAAAGAGATTTGAACCGTACACCTCATACTACTTCCGTGAGCAGGAGCATTTTA